CTTCCTTCCTTCCTTCCTTCCTTCCTTCCTTCCTTCCTTCCTCCCTCCCTCCCTCTCTCCCTCCCTCTCCTTCCTTCAGACCTTTAATAGCTCACTTGAAAAAAAGCATTTTAGGAGATATAAATCCGTCATATAAACTTTACTGCCTGGAATTTCTCTCTCTTAAGCAACTTATTTTTTTTTCAACTGAGGCTACTGGTGGATTGTGTCCCATCATCTCCAAAGCCTAGAACTGACATGGGTGGCCAGGTGTCTTAGGGTGCTTTGCTACCTGGGATCTCCTTTTTTTCCATCTGTTCGTGGAACGTTGCAGGACATAAACTAAGCCATGAGGATTTCCTGTGCTAAACCTAAGGAAATGGAGAGATCACCTGAAAAAAAAAAAAAAAAGCCGATAGAAGTTATTTTTTGACCTCTTTACTTCTCAGCAGAGTGTATTCCATGCACGACCAACGTGAGTTTTTGGAAACTAAAGGGGAGATTGGCAGAGGCCATGGGGTCATTGCTTCGGGCTCCCCAAAAGGGCCCCTGAAATTTTTGCAGGGACTCTCCCATCTGAGTAGTCAGAAACATCAGGTTTCACAAGCCACCTACACTTTCCTGCTTATTATCTGGGGAAATAATACCCAGTGGCTGTAACCATCATTCATTCTTCAGGGAAAGGAGCTTGGGGTGGGGTTAGGGTTTTCTGGTCCTGAATGTGGGACAAGAGACCAAACTAAAAATATGTTTACTAGCAATCCTATGAAAGAAAGAAGGGGGGGGGGAATTCTATTTTTTTTTTTAAATTATTCATATTTTGAGTTTTCTCTGGAGTTTTGACTGATTTCCTTAAATGGTTTACGAGAACTATCAAAAGAACGCAAACAACTGGAACCGGCAAATCAAACTAGGCTTTAAACAAGTGCCAACATGATCACCATCGGTGCCAACATGATCACCATCGGCTATTTTAAATAAATTTCAATAGATTGCCTGTTTGACAAAGCCGTTGGGGGATGGGTTTTTCTTTTTTAAAAAAAGAAAGGCCAATCTGTACGTTATCTTGAAGACTGCAGGAATGGATACCAAGAGATCTACAGAGTCATGGATCAATCACATATTCTCAGCATATCTTCCCTTGCTTATTTTCAGGAGTTGTCTGTTGCTTCAATCCAATTATTCTGGATAGTTAGACACAAACAGACCCCCAAATCAAAATCACATCACTCTAAAAATCCATAAAACGCTCATAAACTTTTATAAAATGTGCAGCAATCATGTCCAATAAGAATCAAGATCACATGAGGTACTAGTACTGCCCTATAAAGCCACACCTAGAATACTGCGTCCAGTTTTAGTCACCACACAATAAAAAATATGTTGAGATTCTAGAAAGAGTGCAGAGAAGAGCAATAAAGATGTTTAGGGCCCTGCAGGCTAAAACATATAAAGAACGGTTACAGGAACTGGGCATGGCTAGTCTAGTGAAGAGACGGACCAGGGGTGACATGATAACAGTGTTCTAGTATTTGAGGGGCTATCACAGAGAAGAGGAGGACAACCTATTTTCCAAAGCACCCGAAGGCCAGACCAGGAACAACAGATGAAAACTTATCAAGGAGAGAAGCAACCTAGAACTAAGAAGAAATTTCCTGACAGTTAGAACAATTAATCAGTGGAACGACTCGCCCCCAGAAGTTGTGAATGCTCCAACACTAGAAGTTTTAAAGAAGAGATTGGACAACAATTTGTTTGAAATGGTATAGGATTTCCTGCCAGAGCAGGGGGTTGGGCTAGAAGACCTCCAAGGTCCCTTCCACCTCTGTTATTCTATTCTATTCTATTCTATTCTATTCTATTCTATTCTATTCTATTCTATTCTATTCTATTCTACTTTCTATTCCATTCCATTCCATTCTATATTCTATTCTATTCTGTTCTCTTCTGTTCTGTTCTATTCTATTCTATTTTATTCTATTCTATTCTAGGTAAGTGCAAGGAACAGACATAAGTAACTTTTTTCAGGGCTGTTATAACTTTGAATGGTCACTAAATGAATGCCTATAATTCAAGGGCTATCTATACCCAGATTTAAACTCTGTAAAGCACTTGGATAATTAACTTTATCTAGTACCCTTTTGCAAGTCCCTGTTCCTCATCTGTTATCTAGGGATGGCTGTCACATCGAACCAAGAGGGACAAGGGTAGAAATGATGACCTCATCACACAACACCATGCCTTAGGAGCTTGTGTCAGGCTTGGGATGCACCAAGATAGTTCCAACATTTGTGTGATAAAGTAATGTAAAGTAAAGTTACTTTACGGACCCTGTTGTTTATGGACCCTGTTATTCCAACCATATAATAATAATAATAATGATGATGATGATGATGATGATGTCATCTAGTCCAACCCCCTGCTCAGGCAGGAAACCCTATACCATTTCAGACAAATGGCTGTCCAGTTTCTTCTTTAAAACTTCCAGTGTTGGAGCATTCACCACTTCTGGAGGCAGGTTGTTCCACTAGCTAATTGTTCTAACTGTCAGGAAGTTTCTTAAACTTCCTTTAACTTTCTTCCAACCTGATCATTAGAACTTATAACACAACTTTACAAATTGTGTCTAATCTGCTCTTTTCCCCTCCTTCCTTTCCTGCCATGTCTTTTGAATTGTAAGACTAAAAGAGTCCAAGGCCCTTCTGTCACTAGTGATTTATAGCAGCTTGCACCCACAGCTCTTGATTGTGGCTCTGTCAACCCTTCATTGTTATTGTTATTTTTGGGACAGGGTCTGGCTGAAAGGTTGCATGTCTTTAGGGAGGAAATTATTTTGGACTCCCTTGACAGATTATCTCTAAGGGAATGTAACTCAAAACAAGGACATACATTTTCTACACCCATCTGTAACACTGGGATTCTTTTTGACACAAACCAGAAGACCTGAAAAGAACAACACTCCACATTTTTTTTAACATGTCCCCCATCCTGGGACTGCGTAACCCAACTGTTGTGCGCAGGAATACAAAATCTTTTTGTCCTATATAGTTAAGAACCAAGGTGTGGTTTAATACAAGGAGTTGTGTTTCCACAGTCATTTTAACACAAGTGTGTGATTTACATAAAAGTTTGCATGAATCATCCCACATCTCCCTTTGCTGACTGAAGGAGGAAGAAGGGGTTTATGATCAAGTAAAAAGTGAAAAGATTGTGAGGGAAATTCCTCATTTCTTTTCTGTCTCTGTTTGAGGAATGACTCAAAATACCCTGTTAATTCCAGACCCAGATGTTTCCTTACTAGGGACCAAATGGGGCAAAACAACATCTGTGAAATTTCCAGTGGTGTTGACTGCATTTACAAAATAAACATCTTTGGATTGGAGAGCTCTAACCTAGGAAGCAGGTGTGTGGAGGAAGTGGGTTTTCTAACCAGCAGATAGAATTTCTGGATAGTGGTGGCCTTGGTAAACTCAGCCCGATCCTGCATAATCTTCCAGAGACTTCAAAACATGTAGTTTTAAGATTGAAGAAAGAGAAAACCAGGTATGTCAAAAACCACAACCTGTTGACTCTTGGAAACAAAGGTGCATTAAAAAAAGCCAAACTGATAAAATCAGAAGAACATCTCTGTTCTCATGATGGCCAATCCATGTAGGAAGACTCTAGAAACCATCGTTTTAACGAAGTAAACAGATACAAAACTAGGAAGTGGAAGCAATGAGAAGTTCTCCCCCCCAAAATATTACAACTGGATCTGGGGAGGTGGGGAGAGAGAGAGAGAGAGAGAGGGAGGGAGGGAGGGAGGGAGTGAGAGAGAGAGAGAGAGAGAGAGAGGATGCCCTGCATAAGCAATTGAAGAGATATCATATGGAAGAATCTTGAGGGCTGGTTTCTTATCATCTGAGACCATAGCATATGACATAATGGACTTACAGGAAGGCAAATTCTGATTGTTAGAAAACGTTCCTATGGACATGAGCACTTCAACAATAGAACGAGTGACTGAATGAGATAGAATGATCCTCTGTCTTGATGTGTTCAAGCAGCAGAGGCTGGACAGCAATGTGTTGGGAATGTTTGGGTCTCTATTCCCACCCCATTAATGGCCAGAAAGCCGAGATCCATTCTCGATCTGTGATTCACTAACGCTGTCCTTACGAGGGTTGGTGCAGTTCATTTGCCCTCATTGACGCAGAAAATCTATTTTGTGATGATGAATCATGATGTCTACGATTTGTGCATGGCCTCTCCCTCCATACTTAATTGTGTGTTAGCTTGTTTTGCCACCTTACTGTGACTGAAAACACATTTAATCATAAGCGTCATGTTATTTTAATATAAAGTAGATGATTAGTTTTGATACAATGAAAAAGTACCATTTGCTCATCTTTCAAAGAACAGGGGCATGGAACAAACCGACCTTCACAGACACAACCCAACATTTTTGCCTGCTCTTCATTTTACAGAATGATTAAGCCCCATAATACCAAAACTTTTGAAAATGATTTTTATCTAGCCCTGGTGCTCATCTATCAGAAGGGAGTAACTCAAATATGAGATATCAACTGGCAGATAGACAGAACATCCACATTTTGAAACAGACGGTGTCTAATTTGATATCTCAATATCAGATGCAAAAAAGAAAACTCAAAAGGCTAACCTCCTTGCCGACTTGAAGGAGACTTTCTTCCACGAATCCCCCTGTTCCTTTCATCCCTTTCCATTCTACTTGACCAAAGGGTTCTTCATCAACTGTGGTTGGTGTCCAGAAAGGCTTCAAGATTGTGACTTGCTTAACACAATGCCAACATTTCATCGAATGAGCCCATCTGCGAACCCGCAAAGCTCCTCTGCAAATATGACAAGAAAATTCCTAACCTGTTCCAAAAAAGAGTTTGTTATCTTAAGATACTTCTAGAGTTGGAAACCTGCAGGGAAGAAGAGGTTAAACTTTCCTTAGCTGCTTTTCCTTTTCCCCTCTCTCATCCTGTTACTCCCCACCCTGCTGTCCACTCATAACTTCCAGCACACTGAGAGTGTATGACCATGTTTCTCTATCCAGGGGCAGGTCAGAAAACCCACCGGTGTTTCACAGCACCTGAGGATGGAGTTTGCTGAATAGGTCAGGCTGTTGTCTCCTCCTTCTCCTGGATTTCTTTCTGAATTGCAGACCTGTGGCAGACGGTGGTACACCATGTGGAGGCTGCTGTCACTCGGACTTATGTTCTTGTGCTGCGTCTTTCAGGAAAGCATTGGCATCACCAGGCGATATTTCATTGGAGCAGTGGAGAAAGAATGGAACTATGAGCCCGACAGACAGAACGGGTAATAATACAGCAACTATATATTGTCTACCAAGGGTCTGGGGATTTGGTTTCAGTAGAGAATAGAGCTGGGAAGTAGGGGGCCTCCAAATTTTGGGAACACCAACTGTCATCTCCACTAACCAACTCTTCCTGGCTAAAAGACTGTGGTCCCAGCTGTCTTAAGGATTGTATAGAAAGGATGTGATTTTCGGATATGGTGTTACCAACAGCATTATAGTTTTGTACATTTTGATCCTTAATTTGCACCACTTGGCCCCTCCTGTTCAGTTTCTGCTTCTAATCTCCTTAGCCCTGCTTGACTCCTCTCTGCTGGATGTGCCAGGAGTGAAGGGAAAGAAAACATTTATTTAATGAAGTGTTGACAGCCTGGTTGGCATTGTGCTAAGCAAGTCACAATCTTTCTAGACACCAACCACAGTTGACAAAGAACCATCTGGTCAAGTAGGATGGAAAGGGATGAAAGGAGCAGAGGGACTTATGGAAGAAGGTCTCCTTCAAGGGGGTGTTATTCAGGTTTACTTTTAGGAAAGGGAGGATAGTACAACAATAGGTAGACTTTTTGGATGTAGGAGGTCCTGGGTTCTGTTCTTGACATTTCCAATTAAAATTGCTCAGCAGTGTTGGGGGAAAAGTCAACTGAAGACACAAGAGAGCTGCTAACACCATTAGTTTATATGATGCCCTCCAGATGTTCCAATGGGAGTAATAGTCCTAATAAGCATCTGGATGGAGAAGAAGAAAACCTGGTGATCAAGATGGACCAGTAACTTGTACTATTTTATGGGACTTTCTTAGTGTCCTGTTCATAATGTTGTGGTCAAGACAAAGAAAAAAGCAGAACAGGGTTTGATCTGGATTTAAGTTAATTAGCTCTTCCTTTTATCTTTACAACAACATTGTGAGGCTGTTTGTATGAATTGATCAGAATCATCCAATACATTTTGCAGTTGAAGAAGGATTTAAACCTAGGTCTCAATAGAAGAGAATATATTTAGCTCTGCGTTGAACTGTGGAGTCCTTGATGCTCTCTGAGTTTGGTTATTTGTTTGCAGATGTTTCATTGACCAACTAGGTAAGAGTTGGTGTAATTAATACCTTAAGAACCACTGTCTTAAAAATATCAACAAATCCTCCAGTTTTGTTATACTGCACATATTTTTTATTTTTGCTTATAGTAATGCTCCAAAGGTGAAGTACAAAAATAATATTTTTAAGAAGGTACACAAAATAAAAATGCCAAAATTCAGTTGATTAAAGATATTTAAGGAAACATAGCTTTACATCCATTATCTACATCTCATGAGGTTTTCTGGGGCCAATCATAAATAGTGTTAGAATGAATGGCTTTTTGAACAGTGTACCGTACTGTAGGTTTTCTCTGGAGCAGAGAATATGCTTGTACAAATAAATTAGGATTTGTCAGGGAGAAAAATTTCACTCAGTCAAGAGCTGGAGTGCAGTTGTGACTACGCTAAATCCAGGACATTGATTTAGGGACCACGACAGAAAATTTTGCTGTGGCATTTAAAGATTCTAAATATATGTAAAGAAATTACTAATTTATTCTCTCTCTCTCTCTCTCTCTCTCTCTCTCTCTCTCTCTCTCTCTCTCTCTCTCTCCCTCTCTCATTATTTCAAGCTTATAAATGCAAAAAAGGTAGCTAGAAAAATGGAGTAATTAAACAAAGTGAATTATTTTAAAGAGAACTAAGGGATAGTTGTTCTTTGAGAGGAGGGGTGAGAAATCAACCTATAAAATGCTATAAAAATACTGGAAGTTTTGAAGAAGAGACTGGACAGCCATTTGTCTGAAATGGTATAGGGTTTCCTGCCTGAGCAGAGGGTTGGACTAGATGACCTCCAAGTCCCTTCCTATTATTATTATATTATTATTATTGATGATCATCGCACAGTCAGCCAGATGTTCAGACTGGATTTGGCATTTTTGTCTACCTATCGAGTCCAGGGACCTGGGATAGGCAGATGTGGGTGTTTGATGGTATTATAGATATTGTTGCAGGATGGAAGCAGTTCCTTGTAAGGCCGCCTTTTGCAATTGACTAATAGCGAATTTGTCAATGCTAGAAGTGTTCAAGTGGTGCTCCAGTTGTTTTGAGATTGCACCCAAGGCGCCTATTACTATTGGTACTACTCTTGGTTGCCTTTGCCACAGTCTTTCTAGTTCTATTTGTAGGTCTTTGTATTTTGTGATCTTCTCCAGTTCTTTCTCGTCTATTCTGCTGTCTCCAGGCACTGCCACATCCACTATCCAGACTTTTTTGTCTTTCTTATCGACAATTGTTAAGTCCGGGGTGTTATGTTGCAGGTGCTTGTCTGTTTATAATAATAATAATCATCATCATCGTCATCATCATCATCATCATAGATAATAGCTTTGGACCAGCTGAAATACTACCCAAACACTGAAGAGGTTTTATTTATTATATTGAATCCAGGTAGTCCTCAACTTATAACAGTTCTTTTAGTGACCGTTCGAAGTTACAACAGCATTGAAAAAAGTGACTTATGGCCGTTTTTCACACTTACAACCATTGCAGTAGCCCCAGGGTCACCTGACCAAAATGCAGACACTTGGGAACTGACTCGTCTTTATGACGGTTGCAGCGTCCCAGGGTCACGTGATCCCCTTTTGCGATCTTCTGACGAGCAAAGTCCACAAGGAAGCCAGATTCACTTCACAACCGTGTCACTAACTTAATAACTGCAGCGATTCACTTAACAATTGTGGCCAGAAAGGTCACAACATGGGGGCAAAACTCACTTAACGAATGTCTCACTTAGCAGAAATTTTGGGCTCCGTTGCCCTGCACAACAACATCAATGCCTTCTGCAGCACGGTGGAAAAGAGATAGCATGATGTAGCTGCAGAAAAAGAGAAAGTACCGTTTAAGAAAACAGATAATTTTATGGCATCACTGCAAACCGTGGTCCTCTTTTCCCAAGAAACATTGCAAGACTTTTCTCCACCAGATTGTCCCCAAACTGCCAAGGGCTTCCTCCTCCAGGGCTCAGTTCTTCTTCTCTCCAAAGGTCACATTGTTCCATTTCCTAGCCAGCGAAGACCCAATTGTGATGGAGAGCTGGAGCACAATGGCATGCAATGTTATTTCTGGCTTGGGCACTGCATTTTGCAGACCGACGACACCAAGTCCTGCCAAATGTTCCAATCCCCCCAAATGTCCTCTCTTTGCCGTTTGGCTTTTTCTAAGATGACTACTTTTTTTTTTTTTTTAACTTTGAAAAGTCTTAAGTGGGAGCTTTGAGATCTGTCCTCCCCTTCATCCTTGTTCTTTTGACTCTGGTCTACCTTTCTCGTGATGCTCTTGTGGTGCTGCTCAAATTAAACGTGGCCTTGTTCCTAAATGCTCAAACGAGGAGATCCTTTTGTTTCAATGCAGGACTACATCTTCTGGGGTGGGGAGGAAGGCAGGCAGTAGAGTTTACTTCTAAGATACCTGGACTGATTTTTTTTTCCCCTCCCCGTTCAATTGGGTCGAATTCTTGGAGACTGCTTGGGAGACGTTCCTGTGGCATTCTTGGGAAGCCTTCTCAGAAGTGGTCTGTCCTTGCCTCTTTCTGCAGAGGAAATGACTAGCCCAAAGACAACCAGCTGAGGCAAAACTAGAACTCAAAGTCTTTTGGTTTCTAACCTGATGCCTTAACCACTACACCAAACTGGTTCTCCCTGTACTCAAATGAAAATCAAAAGCCACGGCTCTCTTTGATTTGTTTTGCAGTTGCTCCTAGCGCCCGGATTTCCTTGGCTGGTCTGAGTCATCCTAGAGAGAAACTCTTGGAAACCTGCCTGCTGGCCAAGTCTGTTCTTAGCAGGCAAGGATGTCTGACCTCTGATAGCTAGTGGCCCTCCAAAGTTTCCAGCACTAGTAGTAACAAGGTAGTCAGGCTAGGCTCTGTTATCTGCTTCCCCCATACATGCACTCCCGTGTAAAACATATGCTGGAAAGCAGAGTGTGATGAAATCCCACGTCAACTTTGGAGAAATGTTAGAAAGTATATTTTTAAAAGTATCAATACAAGAGAAGATTTGTAGCCCAGGGTTGAAATGAAGGGTCCTTAGTGCTCTCAGAGGAGGAGGAGGAGGAGGAGGAGGAGGAGGAGGAGGAGGAGGAGGAGGAGGAGGAGAATTGTGGGGTCCTTGGTGCTCTCTGATCATGGTTGTTTTCTTGCAGACATTTCATTACCCGACTAGATAACATCATCAGTGCTAGTAAGGAATGGGGTTTACTCTCCATTTATATTCTAGTGGCTTGCCCTGTCAGTGTTGGTGGGAGTGGTCTTGGAGGGCTGTTTACTGTTAGCTGGTTTGGAAGTTCCTTGATGGGGGGGGGGTTGTTTACTTGAATGTTGGTCTGATGTTAATCTTGGAGTTAATCTTGGAGTTAATCACCCAGCTCCTCTGGGTGCTGATTGCTGGTGGGGAGTTTTCATCAAGTCTTCTGACTACTAGTTGAGTAATTACCTAGTCTGGGTAATGAAACATCTTCAAGAAAACAACCAAGCTCAGAGAGCTCAAAAAAACCCCTCATTAAAAAATGCATTTGGCTGATCTACCTGGCCATCAACCCTTGGCGTGGAACACTCAGAACCATGCCCCTGAAACAGTCGGGGTTCTTGAGGCAATGGGACAAATGGACTGGAGATTACAGGGGAGATAAAAGGAGAGCCCTCAAAACTGGAATATTTTGCTAAATGCCCCAATAGTATCAACAGAGCATGGTTGCAAAGCCTATTTGCAAGTCCTAAATTTGAGATATCCTATATTTGCACCTCACTGCAGGTAGTGGCACCTAGCTAACCTGGGCTAGTTTTAGAAAAATAAAGCTGGAATCAGCCTTGTTAGTTTTTGAATCGAACACCCATGAATCTGGATTAAGTGGAGGCAAGGAAGCAGCTCAGAAGACAGCAAAATACTTCCCTATCATTGCCAGGAAAACTGCAGGATTGTGACTATGGAGCAGAAAGCAGACAAAACAATATGAAAGAGATGTTGCTTTGATACAGCTTTGTGCTACACATCACATTTCTCATTTTTCTCTTTCCAGTCTTTTCAACCCTCCCCAACCTGGTATACCCCCTTCCCACACACACACACACACACACATACACACACACACTCCAAGCCTGGGGCCATTTGGTCCTGGTGGGTGAGGATTATTGGAGTTGGAGTCCTCCTAATCCTGCTGATCAACAATGCAGGATTTGAAATACACACACCAGCCTTTTTGAACTCAACTTTCTTCTTCGACTAACTCTTTTTAATTTCTTAGGTTGTTTTCTTCCACCCCAGGCCCTCAATATAAGAAGGCAATTTATCTGGAATATACAGATTCTACATTCAGAGAAGTAAAACCGAAGCCTGCTTGGATGGGTAAGCTAAGGAGGTTTTTTTGCTTATAAGATTGGTACTCTTCTCAGCAAAATTTGGAAGTCTTTAATGGAGTTATTCCTGCACTGAAAAATGTCTCGGGTTGATTGACTGCTGTCATACGGAGTCCACACAACTATCTTAGAGGACTGTTCAGGAGCTAGAATTGGTGCAAAATACATTATCTTATTTACTAACTAGGAAGAGGTAGGGAGAACGTCTTGATAATTGTTAGTGAAACAACTACAGTAGCTTCAGCTTTATTTACCGATGTGTTTTCACACATTAAAAACACTGAAATAACAAACAACACATCCGCTCCATTGATAATGCATATTTGCTTACCAATAGTTAAATGATTAAGAAAAGGCTGGAAGATCACGTTTGCCTTGTTTATCTAGGTTTATAAATGGAAACATGCTAGGTATGTACTTGAGGAAGATTTATTACAGGAGAAGAGAATCAAAGAGCAGGCGATGTAACAGAAGTCATGAGCCTGTGGTTGTGCAGCCTGTATATTTGCAAATAAAGAAAGAACTGGTCACTTTCACCCAAAGAAACTCAAACTTATCCTTGGAATTGTTACTGCTCAACTTAAGGGTTGGGGAAACGCTCAAGTCCCATCTTTCCTTCATAATTAGCAGAACTTCCCTCTTCAGCCTGTACCCATTTTTCTTCTTTTCATTAGGTCTTTTGGGCCCCATTGTCCAAGCCGAAGTCTATGACAAGGTGGTTGTGACCTTTAAGAATATGGCTTCCCGTCCCTTCAATATTCATGCTAAAGGAGTATCTTATTGGAAATCTTCTGAAGGTGAGAGTGTCAGCCCTACTGTCCATCTTGCAGGCTCTTCAAATTATTTCCAAAGCTTGCTAAACTCAAGAGCCAGCGCAAAGAGTACAACCAGCTTCAGCCTTTGGATCTAACGACAGTGTAGTTTGGATGGTTTGGGCTTAGTGTGTTGCGTGACCTCAACCTTCATAGTCATTGATGACAGTGCTTATGTGTTTTCAGGGGCAGGCTATGATGATTGGACCAGCCAGCTAGAGAAAACAGATGATGCTGTGGAACCTGATCACACTCATGTCTATGTGTGGGAGATCTTAGAAGATCAAGGGCCAACTGGATCGGATACACACTGTTTAACTTATGCCTACTCCTCTCATGTGGACAGCGTCAGGGATATTAACTCTGGATTGATTGGACCACTGCTGGTCTGTAAGCCGGGTAAGATCCGGTGGTAGAAGTAGACCATTCTCTTGAGAACTTCTTATCCATACTCCAGGTTTTTTTTTTTCAGATTCATAAGGACCTGCTAGCATTCTTTCAGTTTCCTTTGTGATTTTAGTCCATATATTCATACCAGATTCACTTGTAGATCCAGTGTGGGTATTTTAAAAATCTTATTTAGGCTTTTTCTACTAGAAAAGCAAGAGAGCTGTGCAGTCTTTTGTATGATATTCCAAATATGCTCCTATCATAACACCTGGCATTTAGGTAGCATTTTTCTGAAACATTCCACTGAATCCCATATATTATCTCAGTAAAATATCCACATGCCTGATTTGGTTATAACAGCACTACGAAATTAGAAAAAAAATATCTCTATTGCACAGGTGTTATGGTAGGAGCATAGAATGTGTCAGGACTGAGAAATAGAAGGTGATTTAAAACTATGAACTTGATGGAACTCGTAAGTTCTTCCAATGCCTAGCTACCTGAGTGTAACATGGATGATCATTCAGATGATTTAGTAGGCAGTTAAGACATTTCAGGATTCCTGTTTTGCTCCAGTTTAGAAAATTGTCATCTGCTTAACATCTGTATAAAGTCTTTTTTGCCATTTTGTTTTGATGGTTTTATGGAGTTTCTCCTCTGCAGGAGCGTTGATGAGTATAAAATCCGGGGGCAAAATACAAGAATTTGTGCTGCTGTTTTCTGTATTTGATGAAGGTAAGAGAAGAATGGAAAAGGAAGACAGAAAAGGGCATGGTTGTGCTCATCTTGTACGTGTGTTTTTATTCTGTTGAATAAAACCATCGGCAGTCAATACACTTTTCTGTAGGATTTAAGCTTTGCTTGTTCCTAATGGGTTTAATTCTTCATGTCCAACCAACATTCCAGATTACACCCCTTGATTATTTGCACATCGTGCTATCTAATTTAGCCAATTCCAAGAGAATTCATTTTTATTTTAGTTTAGTTTGGCTTGTAGACTACATAAGGGGGCAGAACTGGACCGAAAGACAGGATACAAATTACATGATTACGGTCAAATTGTCCTGAGGACTAGGTTGTCTTCCCAAACAATCTCCTCTGCAGCAGTAGGAAACTGATTATAGGTTCCACCTGAAAAAGTTTAGCCCCAATGTCTAATTCTGCTTTTCCTATAATGGGCCTGTAGGACTGAAACAGTGGATAATGGTGAGCTCTTTTCTTGATGATTTGGAGTTCCTTAAATTAAACTCTACCACTTGCATCCTTCTCTCTCTCTTCAATGTCTCCATCAGACAAAAGCTGGTTCTCTCATTCTCCCATCAGAGGAAACTCAAAGTCTCCGTTGACTCAGCATCAGTTTCATACCATCAATGGGTTCACTCATTCTTCTCTGCCTGGTAAGAGTCTGGCAAAAAAAAGGACAGCACTTTTTAAGAAATATGTCAATATATGAAGAGGAAAATGTGGTATATCTCTCTTTCTCAGAACTTGAAAAGTTTCTTGGTCTTTGTCTGTCTGGTGTAACTGTCTCCCAGAAACTAAAGGAAGATTTCTCTGGGATCTATCAAAGAACCACCCAGATCATGCCACTCAATAATGAAAAAAACTGAATGAACTAGAAATGGAATGAATGAATAACTAATAAGGGAAGAAGACTCTCTCAAAATTGCTTTCTCTCCTTCAGTTTTTGTGTCTGTCGAGTTTAGTCTATTACTCTTGAACATTTATTTTTAAAACTATGCCCAAAGTATGCATTCATTTATATTTCTCCCAACACACATATTTTTCATTTGTAACTACATTTGCCCTAACATAATGCATTTTGCTACACGATTTCTATGAATTATATGCATGGCTTCCCAATATTTATTTATTTATTTATTTATGAGACTTATATACCGCTTTAAGTGCAAGCACTCTCTAAGCGGTGTACACCAGTAAGCAATATATTTATATCACTATTGGTTGTCATTATTGTATTAGCCAATTGCAGGGCAGAATTCTGTGAAGGGCAAGCTTTGAAAGCTACTTTGAATTTTGGATTCCTTCCTTGGTTTGAAAACACAAAGTTGGAATTTTGCACTCCTGCATCTCAACCACACTTTGTCTTGAGCATCACTAAGCATCTTGCCAAGAAAGCTGTCCTTTTCTCTACCTGCAGATCTCAAGCTGTGTGAGAAGAGGCCTGTCTATTGGTATGTCATTGGCCTGGGCACCAGGTCTGAAATCCACTCCATATTTTTTGAGGGTCACAGTTTTTTGGTAAGAGAACATCGGCACACCACTCTGGACATCTCCCCCGCCGTTTTCCTCACTGCTGAGACAACACCCAGAACTAATGGCACATTTCGAATGTTCTGCCAGATTCCATCACATCAGCAAGGTACCTGTCTATGGAGATTCTCAGTCATCTAGGTCATGGTTGAACCCAAAACTGCTTTTTCACAAGGCAACTGGACTTCCTTGTTTTTCTTTGAAAGATGTTTCACTTCTCGTCCAAGAAACTTCTTCAGCTCTCACCGGATGGTGGCGAATGGAAGGAGCTTCTTGGATGAGAAATGAAATGTCTTCAAAGAAAAACAAGAAGGTCCAGTTGCCTTTTGAAAAAGCACCTTTGGGTTCAACCATGGTCCTTCCTAAGAGGACCATCCAGTTATCCTGCAAGGTAGACTTGTAAGCCAGATCACTGCCCTCAATGCAATTGAGTTTGAGGGGCAATGTCTATGGAGATTCTCAGTCATCCAGGTCATAGTTGTCCCAAAGATGCTTTTTCAGGAGGCAAGTGGACTTTCTTGTTTTTCCTTGAAGACGTTTCTTCAAAGGACACAGAAAACCTCCAAATGGCCTGTATGGCTCTCTAAAAGAATGCACATGACCAGCTGTCTGCAAGGAATATGAATCCTTCCATTCCCCATCATCTAGTCAGAGCTGAAGAAGCTTCTTGGATGAGAAGCGAAACGTCTTCAAAGAAAAACAAGAAAGTCCAGTGGCCTTGTGAAAAAGCACCTTTGGGACCTCAGCAAGGAACCTGCTTTTAGCGATTAAACAACACAATTGAAGGTGTCAGAGATACAGTGCAGACCCTTTATGTAAGGGCAGGAGAATTTATCAAGTTTTTTGTTTATTTTTTATTTTCAGCATTCAGCCAGGGTGGATTTTTTTCCCCTATATTTAATGTTGGACTTATTTGATGTTTGAGTCATTTTTTTCTGTTTTTCCCTCTTTCGTAAACATTTTTTTCTTTTTTGTTGTTGTGACTGTTGGATGTATGTTTTTCCTGGTTTTTTTTTCCTGTTTTGTATTTTATTCCCATTGTCAAAACATAATAAATATATATTTAAAAATGTGTTGTGCCAGATCATGTTGTAAGGAAACGGAACATTCAGTAACATGCCATTTGGAAGTAATATACACCAGATCTGAAGTGCAGGTTGACTGTCACAGCAAGCACTTTGCTTCCAACAAAAGGAAGGTGAGACTTGGCTAACATCTGGTTTCCCCTCTGATTCCAGCTGGCATGGAAGCCTTAATTCAAGTGGAAGTGTGCCCAGAACCTCTTCAGAAAAAGCTAAAGATGGTAGAACCATCTCCGAGAGAAGACTATTATGATGATTATGAGGAGGATATAGAGAGCACGGTGATGGACTTAGATGAGGTTTCACCAAGGATTACTGGACGTTCTCGTGCCAAAAGACTGCCTGTGACCTGGAGGCATTATATTGCTGCGGAGGAAGGTGATTGGGACTATGCCCCAGTGAAGCCCACTAATCTGGACAGGTAATGACCTCAAGCAATTATGACGTTCGTATCAAGCCTTCATGACTGGAAAACTCAGAAAAGAGAAAGGCTGTTACCGATAGTAAATTACAGACGCTTGAAATTACTATAGTAATTCTGCAGATCAACTTGCACCTAGCATAATTAAGGTGGAATAAATCTTTCTCATACTTCTGCCTTTCTTGGGTTGACTTTTGTAACAGTCCTGTTTCCTTCCCTATAGTTACCAGGTTTGCTAGACCAGTGGTCCCCAACTTTTTCAGCTTGGCGGCCTGGCCCAGGGTGTGAGGGGCAGGTGCACGCATGCACAGTTCCATTTGTGCAAGCGGCATCCATGTGCACCCTCCACTCAGGAAAAAGGATCTTCGTGCATGAGCTTTCATGAGTGGAAGGTGCTTGTCCTTCCATGTGAATCTCCATTCAAGTGAGCGGCAGGAGGACACTTAAGTGGAGAGCACCTGCTCGCGCGCAAAACTCCATTTGTGCGAGGGGAGGGCACGCATGCATGAAGCTCCACTGACGTGAATGGAGTTTCCTGTGTAAGCGCAAGCACCCTCTGCTCTTACAACTGGAGCTTGGGGACCCATGTGCAAGACATTCCATTAATTCATAAGACCTAGGGAGCTATGGCATCAAAGTAGACGGTGTTTGGATCAAGATATGCTGACGATACAGTTCTGCTTGCCAGTAAGCACAAAGACCTCTTCATCGACAGAGTCACAGACATATCTGAAAAATACGGCTTGAAGCTTAACACCTCAAAAACCAAGATCATGGTCCTCCGGAAAAAACTCATTAATTTACCATCAATAAATTCGGAAGGAATACCATTAGAAAAAGTTGAAAGGATCACGCACCTCGGTTCTAATTTACATGAAAGCTGGGACATGACCACTGAAGTAAAGACTAGGATAGAGAAAGCTCGAACAGCATTCTTCAAAATGAAAAAGGTCTTCTGCAGTCATGATATAAGCCTAAGACTGAAAATCAGGCTTGTCAGATGTTATATGTTTTCTATCCTACTCTATGGAGTAGAGAGTTGGTCTCTGACAGAAGGCCACCTGAAGAGACTAGAAGCATTTGAAAATGTGGATTTACAGGCGGCTGTTACGTATAAGCTGGGTTGACAAGATCAGAAATGAGGAGGTGATAAGCCACCTGGGAAAGCCCAGGGAAATCATCAAAACAATTAAAAAATGAAAGTTAGAATATTTCGGACATGTGATGCGACACCCAGAAAAATACGCCATACTCCATTTAATCCTCCAGGGAAAGATTGAAGGCAAATGAGGTCCAGGCAGAAGAAGAACATCGTGGCTTCAAAATCTAAGGGACTGGTTTGGACAAAACTCAGCAGCACTTTTTCATGCAGCTGCTGATAAAAACAGGATCGCCAACATGATCGCCAACCTCCAATAATGGATATGGCACAAGAAGAAAAAGAGGGAGCTATGGCGATGATGAATCATCAAAGGATTGGCCTCTGTTACAAGTAGACAACTGTCCAATAGGACAGATAGATGAACACGTATGGATTGGACACACTACAGGCTTGCTGCTTCTATGAAAAGAAGTGGAAGAAAAGTGCTAATTCTTTAATTTATCATGACAGGCTAAGGAGGAGGGATCATGTTATAGCAGTATGGAAAACACATTGGAAAATCATTGTCTGGCAGAATCCTATGCAATATAATCAGCATCATGTGAATGAGGATCAAACTAAATAGTCTTTGGCAGTTCAATGATGCTTAACTAATGGATAAAAAGACATTTGAATAACTAGGGACTTGCTAAACCATTGGTCATGGTGTTATCCATTCAGTCGTGTCCAACTCTTGGCGATTCTGTGGGCCAGTCTCTCCACATCTTCCAATCTTACATGATTTCTTTGAGGTTTTCCATGCTCTGGCTGGTGTTAGCCTTGATGGTGGCTAAACCATTACAGATCTAATATTCTGTTGACTTGCACCCATGACTTTCTGTTCTCCTCTGCAGCATTTATAGCAAATCTCTGGAAAATGGCCCCCAGCAGATCGGGTCCAAGTATAAGAAAGCCATGTTTGTGGAATATGAGGATGCGACTTTCAGCAAGCGAAAGGCATCCAAACCAGATCATTTGGGCATCCTGGGACCTGTCCTCAAAGGAGAAGTTGGTGACGAGTTTATTGTAAGTGATGAAAAGGAGATAGTCTTCTCTGAGAATGTTCTCATGATCAATAGTGGTACCATACAGACAGATCCTCTTGGAACAATCTGGGAATCCTTTGGTCCTTAAAATATTAAAGAACCCTAGGCTTGGATGGAATGGGACCTTGAAAGGAATCCTCAGATCATCCCAGACTAAGGACTGTCCAATCTTTTCTTGGAAACCTCCAGATCATGGAGCATTTATGACTTCAGAAGTTTGGCTGTTCCCTTGTCTAATAGCTTTCTCAGTCTTTGGTGAGCTGTCAAGGCTCCATGATCACAACTACAGAAATCTTAATGGACTCTATCAGAAATGTTCAGTTCATTTAGTTATTCTATGGGGTGGAAAATATTTGAGGGTTATCAGCCATGTTTGATCAGTTTGTTGACTTGTGCATACTTTGAAACTGTTTACAAAGAACCACTTTGGACCTCTTGTGTATCCTAGGGATAGTCATGAAAGTTGAGAACCAAGAGAAGAAATATACCATGTTAAATTGATGAAAAATGAGGCAAATCGATACAACAAAGGCTTTGTTATGATTAAGTCCCAACACATTTCAAAGCAATACCTCTTCATTAAGAGACTGAAAAAAATAAATAAAATAGCATAGTGTAGTGTACTAAATATTATAAGAGTGAATAGGATGCTGGTATAATGCATATTCAATGATCTAAAATAAATAAAATCTGCGTTCAACAAAGGTTTGGCCTACTCACATTTCTTAGTTAGATCAAAGACTTTTTTAGACCTGTTTTCTGCTTTTTTCCACCAATTCATTAAGCGCCTCATTTTTTTCCTGATAGAACATATCAGTGTTGATGTTGACTGCACCAGGTCTGTCTTAGTTAATTAGCGGTAAATTGATTGCTTTTATTGACTATAAACACTCTCAAGTCCTTGAGGGAAATAAGCAATTGATAAAAAAATTGCACTGCATAAATAAATAGGCAAACAAACCAATCAAACAGTTTTCAAGATTCCAAGAAAGCTTGAATAGAAGGAGAAATTCACTCATTCTAGTTACAATGACTCTGAAGTCTGAGAAAAATTCTTAACGAAAGGTGGTGTGTTCACATTATTTTGTTAAAAATGTAAGATACTTATTTATGGTGACAAAACAATCCTTAATTTGATCAAAAAGTAACCTTAAAAATTTAAATTACAAACAAACGAGGAAAAAAATTATTGGTTTAACAATAAATTCACTGCTATAATATCAACAATGCAAGGTATGATTGTAAGTTACAGTACCACAAAATCTCTGCTATAACAACACACATCGCTGCATCTTTCGATTGGCAGGAATATTGCCTTTTTCAAAACAGAGAGATCACACATTTCCAGGAATATAACTTTTCCATTCTTTTCATTGCAATACTTACGATTGCAAAGCATGGGAAAATTAAAGTATAGCGTTCTTTGGAATTCAAAAGTGTAAAAAGTACTCTTCTGCATATTACTGGACCCCAACGTTCCTCTAATAATGGCAGAATTGGGATTAAATATGATCTAGAACAGGGGTGTCAAACTTGTAACAACACGTGACATGTTGTGACGTATCACAACTTTTTTTTCCATTGCCAGCAATGATGTGGGCACGGTTTCGCCATGACACATCCGGCCCCGCAGGCCGGCAGTTTGACACCCCTGATCTAGCAGGTCTTTTTTTTAATCTATTTTGATAGATTTGACACAGTATATTGCTCCACATATAGAATGCTGCAAAGAGACTGAATGGAATATCAAACTGTCTCGTTTCAGATTATGTTTAAGAATTTGGCCAGCCGGCCCTACAACATTTACCCTCACGGAATCACCAGTGTCACTTCGCTTCACCCTATTGGAACTGCCCGACGTAAGACTGGCTGTGGAAGGGTGTTGGGCACGACTCTCTTGCGGCATTCACACGTAATCCGAAAGTAGGGTGAGAGAGGGAAGAACCAACCAAAATGGTTCACAGATCATGTTGAGACCACAGCTTGATCTGTGAAACTGATCTGAATATTGCGTTCTGTGCTAAATTAAACATGAGTAGTCGAGCAGTTGGAGCCAATGTAAGATGCCCATTATTTGCTTACTGTTACATTCTATATTCTGTGCCTTCTAATCAGAAGGAGAAAACAGAAATGGTGGTTCTCCTATCTAGTTCATGTCTACTATTTCCAATCAGGGTTGTCCCCATGTTTTCCTACTTCAATCTTCAAGCCAGCTTTGTATCTTTCAAGATTAGGAAGGTGATTATAGTTGAATATCAAGCCTGAGAAGCAAAGATGCTAACTGCCGATGATGCCAGCCTCGTCCAGTTTGTGATGAATTTTAATGTCTGCAAATCTCAGCTACTCTGATAGTTGGGGAAAACTGGAATATTGACACATTTCCTTTAAAATTCCTTTTCATCGTTCCTGGGCTTTATTTGTTGAATGTAGCGTCTGACTTCTTCCTATCAAACCATTTCTTTCTGTTCTAAGGCTGCAAATCTGTTCCCCACACTGTGTGTGTCTGTGTGTTTGTGTCTACCATCTGTATTTCAAAAGACCATTGCTGCCCTCTTGTGGAAAAGAGCCACAAGTAGGCAAGTGTCAAGTCTATGTGAGCAAAAAAATTAGGAGGCTTAATTAACCCTAATTAATTAAACTAAATTAACCCTAATCCTAGCCCGTTCCAACTCAACAAAGTTTGTGTCTTATAATAACATGTGTTGGTTAGAAAAGATGGTACCAGACTCTTGATTTATAACCATTTATACTTATTAAGACCAACTTATTGTGATCTTCTGGTCTGGATAAATGTCAGCTAGTCTTAACTATGAATACAGCGGGCTTCAAATCATGAGTTGTGTAGCTAGTTTGTTTGCATTATTCTGATCACTTTTGACTCATCAGAATAGCCAGCTTGGCATCATGGACTGCATGTGTATTTATTTCTTGAATTTATATAGCTGCCTATCTCACATATGTACTTATATATTATTACACAATATGGGCATTTTAAAGCTTGGTTTTCACTTGATAAAAGCCAATGGGCTTTGTAAACCATGGTTTATAGCATGGTGTGCTATCTAGGCTACCAGGTGGCTTAGTTGCTCAACAAATGTGGCTACGGCAAACCAATAGGAAATTGAACCATGTGATTTTTTTTTGTGATTTGTTTCTTCCTAGATCAGAACATGAAGGTGATACCAATACGACCTAAACAGGTGTTTGCATACAGGTGGAAGATAATGCCAGAAGATGGCCCGACTAGATCTGATCCCAGTTGCCTAACTCGCTACTATTACAGCTCAATCAAACCTGCTAAAGACTTAGCATCTGGGCTTATCGGACCCCTCCTGATCTGTTTCAAAGAAACCATGGATCAGAGAGGCAATCAGGTTTGTTTATTGCTACATCATGGCAGAAATAACTGGGGTGTTCCAATAGGAACATTAGGTTAACCACACATTATGCCTGGATGTAGGAAATTTTATATGCTTCTCTTGAGAATTGAAACTTCAGAATTCTTTGGCAGCCCTCAAGGGTTAAGATGTAGCCCTCAGCTCCATCCACGTGGAGTTGCTTCAAGTAAATGTGGTAGTTTTTTTTTCCAGATCTGGTGTTTAAACATCTTATAAACAGGTTATTTGGTGCTACATTTTCACCATGCTTCCAAGGTGATGTAATTGCTAAAGGATTAGATTGAGATTCAGTCATGAAGTTCCCAAGGGCTTTTTGAGACTATCAAAGACAGTCTCACAATTATATCATGTATGCCATCTTAATCATCTTGAAGAAAAAAGCGCTATTAGTATTAATAATTGCTATTCCTACCCATAGAATTGCTCTCCTCCCCCTCTTCCTCTTCCTCCTCCAATTATAGATTCATAGATTTAGAAGAGATATTAGAGTCATCTAATTCAACTCCTTGCTCAGTGCAGGTCCATTGTAGCATCTTTGACAGAGGGCAATCCAACCTCTGAAGACTTTCAAACAACAGAAGTCACCACTTTGTATGGCAGTCTATTCCACTGGCTATTACTAGTATCTTAGTGTGTAATGGGTGAAAGATAGCACTTCCAAATTATACCTAGAATGGAACTGGAAATGAGGTGGAGAATATTTTACAAGAGCAGCAAATGAATATATTCTGCACGGTGACTCTTCATAACATCTTTTATGGTAGATGTTGTAACATACGATCTGAAATCTCTCAATCAGTTCCAGAATCAACGCCGCATCCAATACATTTCAGTCACCTGATTTAGGATGCTACTTGACCACCATCAACAGTTTAAAGCAAGGTGTGTGCCTTAGAACTACTGTTCCTTTGGTTTCAAAGAAGATTGTTGGCAGGGTCATTTGTCCTTCAATGAGGTCATTTTTTGGAGAAGGAAAGACAGATTTACCAGCAACTAATTCACTAGAAACTTTTGATCCATAGCCTGGCATTATTCAATGAGCAGAGACCTCTCTCTTATCACCTTTTTTTTCTCCACCAGAAGAATTCTATGAGATAGACAGGGTTGAAAGATCGTGACAGTCTTACAATAAATCTTTGGTTCGTTGGTCTTCCTGGTCCAAAATCTTAATCTCTAGTTCCCCTCCCAGATTCTGACCCATTTATCGCCTACTTTTGTGATTCCTTCAGATGATTGCCGATGAAGCAAGATTTGTGCTGTTTTCTGTCTTTAATGAAAATTGGAGCTGGTACTTGTCAGAGAATATCAAGCACTCTTGTTCCGATGCAGCCAATGTTAATCCCCAAGATGCTGAGTTCTATGCATCCAACCTCATGTACAGTGAGTGGCTCCAGAATTTTTTTTTTAAAAAAAATAATGTGGAGAACAGTGAAAGAAAGATAAGAATGTCACATGTGCCTTTCTTACATGATAAGAATGTCACATGTGTCTTTCTAGCTGAAGTTGTTGTGGAAGGTGTAATCATGCTACTCCAAGTTGGATACCAAATTTCCTTATATAGTCAAAAATTGAAAATTGGCTGTTGCTATTTCTTTCTTCTTCTATGGGACAGGTTTTCTACATAGGTATAGCTTCCTGTCTTCCTAACATTTGTTTTGGAGCAAAGCTGTATAAATAGTAAAACCACTACTTATCCCCTTTCAGTGGGAACCAGTGTAGCGTAGGGATTAATTTACGGGCCAGAGTTGCAAGTTTAAGTCTTCTGCAACTGAGTGACTTTGGGCTTTACAGTAGTCTTTCTCTGTCTCAAAGGACTATTGTTATTGTGAAGTTAAAACTAAGGCAGAATTCCATATAACCCACCTCAGGTTTATTGGGAAAAAGATGAGATACAAAATGATAATAATGTCATCAATCATGATAAATAATCGGATGAGCTTTCCCCAGATCCAGTCCCGGATCCTTAGATACAACTGGACTTTCTAGAGCAGTGGTTCTCAACCTTTTTAATGCCGCGACCCCCAACCGGTCGTAAGTCGAGGACTATTCAAGTGGTGCAAGCACTGTTTGCAGAATGGGACTTTTGGCTGGCTCAGCAGGGCAGAGACAGCCTGGACAATTCCTATTGGCTTTTGAAAGCCAATAGAATTAGACTCTATTCAAGAGAGTCTATTCTATTGGCTTTCAAAAGCCAATAGAATAAAAGGGAGTAGCACAGCTAAGGAAAAGGGGAAAACAATGGCGGACTGCGTTGTTTGGCGACCCCCGTGAAATGGTCGTTCGACCCCAAATGGGGTCCCGACCCACAGGTTGAGAACCGCTGTTCTAGAGGCCATTCTGGGTGAGAGTGATGAGATTGTTGTCCAGTCTTTGATGACATGGTCCCTTCCATATACCGTGGATCAATTCTCTTGAGTACTACAAGGTTTTTAGTGTTGTTGAAATTCTTTTTACTTCATAATTCTCTTTTCTGCCTCTTCTTCCAGGTATCAATGGATATGTCTTTGATAATCTTCAAATGAAACTCTGCCAGAACCAAGTGGTATATTGGTATGTCCTGAATGTGGGGGCCCAGAGTGAGATCCTCTCTGTCTTTTTCTCTGGAAACACTTTTAAGCACAACACGGTCTCTGAGGAGGTCCTGGCAATCTACCCCTTCTCTGGCGAGACAGTTATCATGTCCATGGATAATCCAGGTTAGGCTGACATTAATTGTTCTTTGAAGAAATTTGGGGGCTTCGGAGGTTGACGAGTTAGAATCCCCACCCTTCCTGACCATTTTTTTTTAATTGAAAATTTTTAAAATTTTTACAAGAAAAAACAACCCTCCCCAACCCTCCCACTCCCTCCCTCAACCTTCCCAGAGCTGAATATAGGCTTAATTAAAGTTTCTTAAATTCTTAAAAAAAGTATAAACCATAGATAAATCTAAATACATTACTTAAACAACTAATAGAATTATTAACAATAATATATATATAAAAAAACATAAATATTAAAGAAAAGAAAAAAAATGCTTGAAAAAAAAAGAATAAAGAGAAAGAAAGAAGAAAAGAAATATAAGAAAATAGAATAAAAATAAAAAATATAAGGAAAAAGAAAAAATAATACAGTCTATAAAATATTAAAATTTATATATAAATTATTAAAAAACTAAATAATATTTTTATATCCAACTTGTGTTGTATAAAATCTATCCATTTTTCCCATACCACAAAAAACTTCTCTTGCGATTGATCCTTTAAAAAAGCCGAAATCTTTGCCATTTCCGCCAGATAAGATACTTTAGAAAACCACTCTTGCAAAGTAGGCAAAGATTCCTTCTTCCAATATTGCCCTACTAACAACCTTGCGGCTGTCCCACCTTCCTGACCATTGACCATAGGGCAGATGTTGCTACAAATTGGAATCCAACAGATGTCCTCCAGATGCTCTGGATGAAAATAATTGGAAAACATATGAGAGTTATAAACTTATAACATCATTTAGTCCCTTCATCCAAATCCCAGGACACAATTAAAAAAAAAAACTCACCTGGAAAGAAAGTTGCCTAACTTTCAGATATTTCCTAAACTTTGACAGTTAAGAATTATAGCTAGCAAAAAGTGCAACAAATGTTGAATGATACAAAACAGGGGGATCTTTAGATCTTTAGGACTGGAAAAAATGGAATTAATTGAAAATATTATTAATGAAGAGGTGATGGACATTTCAGTTCAGTCTTATCTAGGAAAAAGACAACAATCTTGCATTCAATGTCAAAGAGGTTTAAATAGTTCTCAGAAGCACTTTAATGAATTCACTTGACCTATTCCATTTTCACAATGCCCTTACCTTCTTGACAATAAAAAGATTGATCAATGAAATTCATTATGAATCTTTATTTCTGGATGGTATTATGTTACTAGAAGCTTGACAAGTGTGCACCCCTTTGAAGGCTGAAGGCCATTCTTGGTTTCTGACTGGCATGCTAGAGGTCACAGTCCCCAACTTAAATCTTTTCTCCAGTTGCAACAATTTGGTAATAATGTTTGAAGGTTTCTTCGTGATTTCTAGGTCATATTAACTCTGAGGTTCCAGATTATGCATCTCTGATATAATCTGTATGTTATTTAAATCTTCCTCTCATTTTATTTCTTGGTTTTTCTTTGGTTTTGTTTTTCCTTTTCTCTGAGACAGGGAGATGGATGGTGGGATGCTTGAATCCTAATTTTCGAAAACAAGGAATGAGAGCTAAATTAAGTATTTTTGTATGTCGCCAAGAAGAGTATGTTGACCAGGACTATGAAGAGTACTACGATGAAGGCATTCCATCTGATTATATCAGTGAAGCCAATACTCTACAGGCAAGAGGCTTCTCCAAGAAAAGTAGACGTCTCCAACTATGCCCAAACCAGCATCTGAATGCTACCTCACTTTCAGAAGATGGGAGGCTGAACTGCCTCGAGCAATCTAACCATCTTCTCAAAGAAAACCATCACAAGAATTCCACTGGCCCACTCATTTCTCCTGGGAAACCCTTATCCCTAGATAAGCCCTTGTTTGACATCTTGCCCAAGGATGCTTTCCCCATAGAAGAACAATTGCCCCTACTGAAGCAAAGTTTTGAAGAACACTCTCCTTCAGAAAACTCAGCACTTGCACAGGAGATATCACATCATAATAATCTTTGGTTAGCAAGTTCAGCCAATTTAGATAGAAAAGCTCTTGGTGTAGGAATTCACAGGCCAATTGATGGTGCTGGGAACTCTTCATCTTTAAGTGAACTTCTTTCCTTTGGTAATAATGATATCCATACCATGTCCCACAATGAAGCCATCGAGGCAAAGCCTCCGAAGAAGACTCCTCAAGATAACAAGAGGGAGAAGATTATGGAGCTCAAGAGAAATCCAACTGCGGGATTGCCAAATCTTTTGAACAGACAAAACCCCTTATATGATATTATGGACAGGCCTCTCCATGTTAACAGTATCAAAAATGATAATGATAGGTTCCCTATAAGTCTCTCTTCTACTAATACTAAAAGAGATAGCTTTCCTCTACAAGGAGATTTTGAAGAAATAAACCAAGAAAAGCACCTCCAAGTAAAAGAATGTTTGTCCAGTTTCAAGGCTGCACCCAGTAAGACCAGTGTCACAAATTCCCATGGAGCCTTACATGTATTTATGGAGCAAAATGTTACACAAAGTAGGTCAATTTTAAGAATTCCCCAGGTAAATGTATCTGGGAAAGGGGATATTTCACACCTAGAAGGAACCTCTCCATCACAGTTAGCTGGCCTGGGAAGGAGTATCAGTTCTAACCCAAAAGAGAGTCAGTCAAAACTATACCAAGGGAGTTTAGAAATGTCAACACATGGGACAAAGTCAGTGACTTGTCCACAGCAGTCCCACGGTTGCAACAGACACTTGGGAAAGAGGTCTGCAAAATCACAGGAAGTCACTTTGGATGAAATAGCTGCTAGAGCAGACATCCAAGCAAAAACTTCCAGCAAGAGTGATAAAAGAGTTCAGCCATTGCTCAACTTCCTCGGGACAAGGAATAAGACTGAATCTTCTATAACAAGACCTCCCTTAACAGGTAGAGCTAAAGGAGATGGTCAAATAACAAATGATGGCAGAACCACAGCTTCATATTATTCTCTACGGAACATAATCCAATATAATCTAAGCTTATCCCCAGCAATGAAGAATGTAATCAATACCACTGTGATTCCTCATCATTTTAGAACAGAAACAAGGGTCCATCACAAGGAAACAAGGCAAGGACTGATTTCAAATGATTTTCCAGAAGGAAATATTTCAGAAGTCAACTTTATCTCTCCAAAAGACACAGAACAAGCACATACATCTAACCCTCCCAAAGATGCACCAATTATGAGACAAACTGGCCCAGAAAATCTTTTGCAATTGCAGCTGAGGAAGTCTAGTGGAGATCGGGAACAAATGTTAAGAAATGAATCTTTGAAGGCTACCATTAAAAGACAGGAGATGAACATCTCACAACAAACTCCATCAGCAAATGATATGCTCTCTCAAGACCTTCTGGCATCTAACCAGAACATTCAAGGGCAGCTGTTGAAGGAAATCAATAGCTCAATAGAAATGAATGGGTTGAATGATGAACAAAGAGAGACTCCCAGCTCAAGAGATGAGACAGCAGTACTCAAAGGGAAAGAAGAAGTGGGAATCTCACTCAGCAAGGATTCAGAGACCGAGTTTCATGTGAAGGTCTCCAGAACCTCCTTAGATGTCAGTCAACCAGCAGGAGAAAAATTCTCAAGACCTATGAAAGTCAAATCTGAGTATGATGAATATAGCAATACAGAGGAGATGAAGGAGGGCTTTGATATCTATGAAGATGAACAGGATCCCCGTATGTTCACGGGGAAAATCCGACAATATTACATTGCTGCAGTTGAGGTGACCTGGGATTATGGCAGCTCTATTCCCTCCCCATATCTGAGAGACAAGTAAGTTTTCCCCATCCTTTTGCCTAAATTTCTCAGGTTATTCCGTGGGCTTTGTGGCTAAATGAGATTTGAATCCTGTTTTTATTTGTAATTTAAAGTCAATATTGATTGACTTAAAGAACAGAATAACACATTGGAAGGGACCTTGGAGGTCTTTTAGTCCAACCCCTGCTCAAGCAGGAGACCATATACCATTTCAGACAAATGGTCGTCAAATCTCTCCTTAAAAACCTCCAGTGATGGATCAAACCACAACTTCTGGAGGCAAGCTGTTCCACTGCTTAATTGTTCTCTCACTGTCAGGAAATGTTTTTGATAGATCAGTATTGCCGCTTGATTGGAGAAAGAGAACAAAAAGTCAGAGGTAACAGTTATGACAGAATTCATGGGTGTCGTTGAATATTCACTTTGTGCTCTTTGCCATATAACTGTCGCAGTGGTTCCACATTTTGGAAGAGTAGAACAGCTGCCATTTTGTAAATGGAACTATTCACCAAAGACTTGAGAAAAGGCGGTTTGTTTGCTCGAGGCTAGAAAAGAACTATAATTGACCAAGTAGCAAAACTAAAAAGTAGTACCAGGAAGCATAAGAAGAACTAATTGCAGAGGACTTGGGCAGAAATCAGACTAACAAGACTAACGAGAGAGAAAAGAAGGAGAAATATTACAAACTGCATACAATTTTAGCCTATCTAGCTCTGGGTGGAATTAGAAAGGTATCATTTCATCATACCAGTTGCTTGTATTCTATGCACAGTGATCCAAGGACCAGCTGGAGAAAGCTCTCTAGAAGTTATAAGAAAGTTGTTTTCCAAGAATATTTTGACAGCACTTTTACCCGACAGATGGTCCGTGGAGAGCTAGATGAACATCTGGGTATTCTGGGACCATACATCCGTGGACAGGTCGAAGATACAATCGTGGTAAGATATAGGGGTGTGGGTGGAAAATATTGGCAGGTCAAATCTCCCATAATTAAACTGGACTTTTTTTTTAAAAAAAGGAATATTTTGCCTTTGAAATCCCACTCCTATATTTGCCATTTATTGATGTTTCTATCCTATCTTCTTTGCAATGTCAGCCATCTGAGGACATCCAAGTGAAAATTAGTTCCAAGATGAAAATATTGGATAATCATCTGACAACCTCATGATGAGTTGTGGGATTAAAGATGGCCCTGGTTCCTTGTTCCCTTTTTATTCCTTCTCTAAATGGGAAGCCAGCCAATGTAGACGATAACAGTTTATTTTGTGAGCAATGTCAGAATCTGGGAGTTCGTTTGTTCTACTCTTCTAGTGTGTAACTCACATCCAAAAGCTGACAGATGAAATCAGCTTTTTGAAGAAGTGTGGAGAAATCACACCTCCTTGATTTTATTTGCTTGTCTCTACTCACCACAGTCACAAGAGTCTATGGTAAAAAAAAAAAAAGAAAAATAAAGCATCCATAGCTTAAATTAAAACTGATAACCAGCAAATCATTCAAAACACAATTACAGTTGCAATCATTCTGGGCATTTTGGTCACCAAAGGACCTCTGGAAAATTTTTGTTTCTCATAGCTTTCTGAAGGTGAGGACCAATCTTGCTTCAAATTGGTTTCGTTGACGGTTTTGTCAGTTATCTAAAGAGTAGCAACGGCAATAACACTTAGACTTATAGACCGCTTCATAGTACTTTTTACAGCCCTCTCTAAGTGGTTTACAGAGTCAGCCTATTGCCCCCAACAATCTGAGCCTTCATTTTACTGACCTCAGAAGGATGGAAGGCTGAGCCAACCCTGAGCCGGTCAGGATCGAACTCCTGGCAGTGAGCAGTGTGTTAGCCTGCAATACTGCATTCTAACCACTGCGCCACCATGGCTCCTAGAACAAAGAAGTTCTAGGGTTTCCTGTAGCCCAAAGTTTGTGGGTTCCTCAACCTTCTCCATATTCTACTTCTCATGTTTCTCCCTCTTATTAGGTGACTTTCAAGAATATGGCTTCCCGACCATATTCTTTTCATTCGAACTTGCTGCCCTATGAAGGGAGCCAGGAAGATGCAGAAAACCAGAAGCCAGAGGCTGTTCAGCCAAACCAAGTTCGCCAGTATTCCCTCAAGGTGTTGCCTGAAATGGCTCCTGGTTCCAGTGAATTTGACTGCAGAGCATGGGCTTACTTCTCCAGCGTTAACCTGGTACATGGGGAATTCTTATTTTCTACTGGGGTTACCAACATCCGAAGTTTAGAGGTACAGAAACCTGAAACTCAGATCAGGAATTTGCAGAGGTTAAGCACCACAATCCCTGTTTGCATGTGCAGAGTAAGTTAGGGGGGGGGGCTTTCTGACAGATTTAAATTTTGCTCTCCAATGAAATGACCCAAATAAAGGAGACAAGTGAATAAATAAATAAACCCAAAGGACTGTCTTGTATAATAAAGGGTGTATGGCCACTGTACATATATGCATGCCCAGTTTTCTGGTTTATAATAAAACAGTGACTTATTAACTAAGCCAGTTCTTTCGGCACAAATTAAAATAGTTAGCTGAGTTAGTTAAGCCTATTACATCTCTGTTGTAAATTATACACTTACAACTGTAAACTGTAAAGCCAGTATGAAAGCCAAATATATTAACATTGAAAGCAAATAATAAAAAAGATAATTTCAAGGGCGCTTTAATGCATTTCTAATGGTAAACAAAAAAGCCAGCAAGCTGGATGCTCTGAATGAATGTCCTTTAAAAATAAGGCCGTTCTGAGGTAATGTCATTCTTTTTTTCTGTTTCTCTTCCTCCCTCTTCTGTTCCAGGAAAAAGACCTGCATTCCGGTCTTATTGGACCTCTGATTATTTGCCAGGCTTCGGTGATCCGTACCACACACATCAGACAATTGGCTATCCAGGAATTTTCCTTACTCTTCACCATCTTTGATGAAACCAAGAGCTGGTATTTTGCTGAGAACTTTGAAAAGAGCTGCCCGTCTCCTTGCCCCATCCAGATGGACGATCCTGTCCTTAAAAGCAACCATACCTTCTATGGTAAAGATAGTCCTTCCATCCCTGTTCTTTCCTGCTTCTCTTTCTGGGCTCCCCAAAGAATGGTTAGGAAAACCAAACTAACGTGGCTGCCCCCCTCCCAAATACAGATAGTCCTCAGCTTACAACAGCTCATTTAGTGACCGTTCAGATTGTAACGATACTGTAAAAAGGGACTTATGACCGCTTTCCACAATTACAGCTTTTCACAATTACAGCGTCCGCATGGTCACGTGAGCAAGATTCATACACTTGGCAACTGACTCATATTTATGACGCTTGCGGTGTCCCGGGACCACGGGATCCCCTTTGCAAACTTCTGACAAGCAAAGTCGACGGGGAAGCCAGATTCACTTAACGACCGGATTACTAACTGAGCAAGGGCAATGGTTCACTTAACATCTTTGGCATGAAAGCTTGTAAAAATGGGGCAACGTTCACTTAACAAACGTTAAGAAATTTTGGGCTCAATGGTGGTCTTCAATGGAGGCCTACCGATAAATCTACTCGTGGAATCTGATCACCAATTCTTCTGGGTTGTGGTCCCCTCAATGCTTCCTTTTTTGCTTTGTGAACTCCCTGGAATGAGCAGCCCTTCCAATCTTCTAAGAAAAAAGGGATGTTCTGCCTTCCTTTCTAGCAGGCATAAATGGTAATGTTCCTCACCCTGCTTTCCTTAATTGTACCTAGAGTTTAAATTGCTAATTAAGACACAGCTGAATTCAACCTGGACGTTCTCCATTCTCTTTTCCCCAGCGATCAATGGCCACGTGAGAGACACGTTGCCAGGGCTGGTGATGGGACTACATCAGCGGGTCAGGTGGTATCTGCTGAATGCAGGTGGTATTGAGGACATCCACGCTGTCCATTTCCATGGGCAGGTTTTCACCATCCGAATGGACGAGGAGTACCGTTTGGCCATCTACAACCTCTTCCCCGGTAAGGCACAATATGAGTAGTTAAACATGCATCCCCTTTGCTGCTCCACACCTGAATTTAGCAAGAACAACTTCTTTAACCATAGAATGACAGACTTGGAGGCAGCTACATAAGTCCTCACGTTCAATCTTCTGCTGCTCAGTTCAGAGATTTGAAACAGCTAAACTATCTATGGCAGGTTCTCTCAAGCTCAGCGACTTTAAGATGCGTGGACCTCAACTCCCAGAACTCCCAGTCATGAATTCTGGGAGCCAGTCATGAATTCTGGGAGTTGAAGTCCACCCATCTTAAAGTCACTGAGGTTGAGGAAAATTAACCTACAGTGATACAAATAAGCTTAGAACTGTTGCCATCTTTGATATTTCCTCCCTTTATTTCTAGGAGAACCCTAGAATGGATCTTAGAAATCATTTTACTTCAACCCCCTTCACAGTGTAGAAATACTGCAGCTAGATTAGTCCTGAGAGACAGTTCTCCAGTGTCTGCTTATGCAGAATCAATTCAACGGGGTAGAAATTGTGTAAATTGAAATTCAATGGTGAAAAAAGCAAGGTTCTATATTTAGGCAAGAAAAACCAAATGCACAAGTACAGCATAGGTGGCACCATGCTCAATAGTAGTAACTGTGAGAGGGACCTCGGAGTCCTAGTAGACAATCACATAAATATGAGCCAGCAGTGTGCTGCAGCTGCCAAAAAGGCCAACACAGTGCTAGGCTGCATTAACAGAGGGATAAAATCAAGATCACGTGAAGTATTAATACCACTCTTCAATGCCTTGGTAAGGCCACACTTGGAATACTGCATTCAGTTTTGGTCACCACGATGTAAAAAAGATGTTGAGACTCTAGAAAGAGTACAGAGAAGAGCAACAAAGATGATTAGGGGACTGGCGGCTAAAACATATAAGGAACGGTTGCGAGAATTGGGTATGTCTAGTTTAACGAAGAGAAGGACAAGGGGGGACATGATAGCAGTATTCCAATATCTCAGGGGCTGCCATAAAGAAGAGGGAATTAAGCTATTTTCCAAAGCACCTGAAGGCAGGACAAGAAGCAACGGGTGGAAACTAATCAAGGAGAGAAGCAACTAGAACTAAGGAGAAACTTCCTGACAGTGAGAACAATTAATCAGTGGAACAGCCTGCCTCCAGAAGCAGTAAATGTTCCAACACTGGAAGTTTTTAAGAAGAGACTGGACAGCCATTTGTCTGAAATGGTGTAGGGTTTCCTGCCTGAGCAGGGGGTTGGACTAGATGACCTCCAAGGTCCCTTCCAACTTTACTACTATTACTATTACTATTACTAAATAGAACTAAACATGTGAGGAATCCACAATCCATTGAAGCAGCTTCCTCTTCCTCCTCTTCCTCCTCTTTATTACTATGCCATCAATGCTTTACAAGTATATTAGTAATCCTTAAAGGTGTCTTGTAAAATGGGCATTGACACTATCCTTACATAATCAGAGGGAGGACTGAAAGAATAAGGACATTGCCCAAACTCTCCTAATTTGCTTAATGGAACTTAAATGATGGCACGAAACAGGGAGAGTAGGATAAGATGTCTAGCAGCAGTTCTCCAAATCATCAGTAGAGACAGACTTTCACCAAACACAACTTTGTGCTGAAAAAACATCCGAAGACAGGCCAAAGTTTTGATATCTTAGATTGGCTGTATCCAATTTGAATACAGAGCACTTGGAATTCATGCATCCTAACTTTATCCTGTCTTCTATAAAATATTACTAATCAGAGCTTCCAGACACTTGTCCTGGGAGTCGCCGTTTCCATTACAAATTCTGACCTCAGCTAGTGCACTAATTCTTCCTATAGATTAGGGAAGACTTTGGGGACCAAAGCAATCACCTTCTTGAGCTGTAGGAAGCTCCTTAGATGAAGATCCCACCAGATCTCTGCAATGTGCCTTGATACCCTTCAAGATATGTGAAATCTTGTTCCATAAAACTTAGCAGCCAGAACAAGAGATTTGTTGATCGTCTATTATTCTTGCAACCTCTGGTAGGTGCCTTCGAGACAGTGGAAATGCGTCCATCTCGTCCTGGAATTTGGCGGGTGGAGTGTGCGGTTAGTGAGCACGAACAGGCAGGAATGAGTGCCCTCTTCCTCGTGTACAACAAGGGTAAGACATTGAGCAGTTCCTCAACAACGAAGATCTACAGGTAGTCCTTGACTTGTGAAGGTCACGTAGCAACCATTTAAAGTTATATCCGGTATATATATACTGAAAGGAGTTACAGTATGTCCTGGATCCAGTTATATATACTGTAAGGAGACTTATAGTATGTCCTGGATCCAAAGTTCTGAAGTTGCTCCTCTCCCTGGTCACGTGACTACACTTCAGGCACTGGCAACATGGCTGCGTGTCTCACAGCCCCGTGACCATATTAATGACAGTTTTGCCAAAAACTAGCAGTTACTTCTGGCTTTTGGCACAACCACATCCGTAGTGAACCATTGGCTTGCTTCATGACTAAAGCATTTGCTTAAGGACCATGCTACCCTTTTTACCACTGTCATGCTTGCTTAATGACTGTCACAAAAGATACTCAAAAACCGGATCGGTCATGTGATCGGCGGTCATTTTGTCACCGTACTTTTTACCCTTTGGTTTCAGATTGCCAGAGTCCTCTAGGCTTAGCTTCTGGATATATTGCTGACTCTCAGATCACAGCCTCAGGACACTATGGTGAGAAATTGAATATTACTTTCTTCCCTGGTTTTCTTCTATATTTTTTTGTTAAGAAAGAATGGGGATTTTATGCAGATATTGTCTAGGGATATTTATTGTGAAAAAGACTGACAAATATTCAATGAAATCATAACATTATATGCCAGTGGTTCTCAACCTTTTTAATGCCGTGACCCCCAACCGGTCGTAAGTCGAGGACTACTCAACCAGTCGTAAGTCGCGGACTACTCAACTGGTGCAGCACCGTTTGCAGAATGGGACTTTTGGCGGGCTCAGCAGGGCAGAGACAACCTGGACAATTCCTATTGGCTTTTGAAAGCCAATAGAACTAGACTCTATTCAAGAGAGTCTATTCTATTGGCTTTCAAAAGCCAATAGAATAAAAGGGAGTAGCACAGCTAAGGAAAAGGGGGGAAAAATGGTGGACTGCGTTGTTTGGCGACCCCCGTGAAATGGTCGTTCGACCCCAAATGGGGTCCCGACCCATAGGTTGAGAACCACTGTTATATGCAATTATATATATTCTTGGCTGGTTGCTTCCATCACCAGTCCATCTATTCTATCTCTCTTAATATAAGTAGTTTGGGGAAATATTATTGCATGGTTACCCCAATGAGTGTCATCATCATTCTCTCTTAGATACTGACACCATTTTTGGTTACCGCTGCCCCATTGGCTATTTATTTTCTGCCTTATTTGTGTCACCACGTGGGTAGGAACCCCTGGCTTTGGTCTTAAGGTCCAATCCAAGATCTACCACTAAGGAATATCAGCTATTGAAAGGCAAAAGCTTGCTAAATCTTCAGGTTCTAGTTTCTTGTCTTCTTCCTTTGGTCCAAGGTGAATGGGTCCCCAGTCTGGCCAGGTTGGACAAATCTGGGTCAATCAATGCTTGGAGGAGTGACCAAAAGAACTCCTGGATCCAGGTAGGCTTGATCATTAGGATGGAGAGATTCTGCAGGTAAATAACAAGCAGGCATAATAGGATGCAGAATCATCAGGGGCCCGTCTTCTTTTAGACAACAGAAAAAGTGAAAGTAATTCACCCGAGTGACCGAGTCGTCTACCACAAAAACTAGATCTTGTAACACTATTTAAGAGTAGCAGCTTTATGAGCAGCACTATTAGCAGCACTGTTTATTAGCAGCAGTTTTCAGGCTAGATCAGGTCTAATATAACTGGATAGCAATGATTCCTCTGCCACCACTTGAAATGAGAGTCACCCTTTAAATCAGTGGTTCTTAACCTGGGCGATATTGCCCCCCAGGGGGTGATTTCATTTTTCAGGGGGGTGATGGAACGAAAAGGGGTGATGTGGGGGTGAAGGAACAAAAGGGGGGCGATATGGGGGTGATGGAGCGAGAAGTTTTGGGGACACTTTTGAGACTTTTTCGTACAGCGAATCGCTGTATATCTGTCGTACAAAAACATCAGATCTCTCGCTATTAGTGGATTGAATTATGTTTTCAGTGGTCATTACATTTAAGTGTCTTGAATAAATAAGATAATAATGAAATACATGTATCACGAAGTTTGGGAATAAAGTGACGGGTGGCACCAAAATTTTTCACACAGTTGAGATATGGGAAAAAGACTGGAAATAAATTATTTGCATCAATATGTCCTGATGACAATTTTAAAGAAAACAAAAAAAGGGTTTGCATAAATTGAAGAATTATTTCCTATGTTGTGATTGAGAGGTTATGTTGGAGGAGCGGGGCGATGACAACTTCCTCATTGGCTCAAGGGGACGATTTGTTCAAAAAGGTTAAGAACCACTGCTTTAAATCACCTTAAATGGTGATATTTGGTGTTAAAAGGAGGTAAGAAGACAGAGGGTTCATGTATCCTACTATGTAGTGTGTATATATTAGGAGGGAATCCCAGGACCAGAATCAGCAGTGGATGTAGGATGTCAACATCTCCTAAGGAGACCAGGGCTGGTGTAAATGATGGTCAACAGTCATTTTGGTTTAATGGACAAATGTCCTTTTGACACAGGCAACATCGGCAGATAATTATCATTATGTAAACAATCTTCCTTTTCTCATAACATTCTGGAAGACTTTACGCTCGACTTTATCACTTGCCAATGCATGAGATGCAATGCATTTGAATCCTGTAGATAAATCATTCCCTTCCCTATGCATGCTGTTGATTTCTCGTCCTTCAGGATGGAAAAGTTGAAGATGCCATGACCTATCTTGCTTTTCTAGTTTGTTTTGCGAACGCACGAAGCTACTTTTTACTTGGTTAGGCCGCTGATATATTTAGCTGGGGTCCATTCTGTTCCATCTGCCAATAACTCTCTACACAGTAGCCTTTTTCAATGTGGGTTGAGTCCATATGGGATTGCTGAAGGCGGTGCTGAATTTGGAACTCTGGGAGGTGCGATCCCAAACATCTGGAAATTGAGGAAAGATGTTTTATAGAAACTTGGTTTTCCAAAAGACAAGAGTGTTCTTGTTCTCCAGGTGGACTTGCTCCAACCCAAGATCTTCCATGGAATAAAAACCCAAGGAGCACGGCAGAGATTATCCAACTATTACATCTCCCAGTTTGTCATCTTCTATAGTCTGGATGGAGAGAATTGGAAGAGTTATAAAGGCAATTCTACCAGCTCTCAAATGGTAATTACTTTTTAGCGATTCTCCTGTAATCAGAGAACGGATTGTTTGTAAATGTACTAATACAGTTGAGAATGCAAACTATCATTTCATGCTGAAAGGCATGTTTAAGATGGTCAAGCCATCAATAAAAGCAGCAGTACCCTTCAGACATGTTGAGACTGCAAATCTTTAAACTGGCTACCTGCAGAATTGAAGTTTAAAGCTGGTTTCCACCTGACGATTGCAATAATAATTAATTTAATACATCCGGGATGGAAAAGGCTGCATTACATCTGATATTGCAGTTGTCAGATAATTCTTCAATCTGCGAAGTAGCCTCAAGCCGAAACATTATAGCTGGGGTAGAAAAAAAAGCTAAATAGGATTACTTGTGCCTGGGAAAGAATGAGAGAATAGCTATGTTCCTGTCTTTCTTAACCACTACAAAAATAGAACAGATCAAGAAAATAACATAGTGATTTGAATACTTGGCATACGCCTCGAAGGAATCCGGTGTTTATTAACACAGAATGTGGACTTGCTTGGCACAGGACTTCAGGGCTCCATTTATACACGCTGATAAATGGGATGCGTACATGAATGACCAACAGGAGGTGGCAGTGCTTTATTTCTTCAACTGGTTTGTAAGTTTGTAATAAGATAGGCGCCACAATAAAACATCCGCCATGAAGATAGATGCATGTAATACTTTAACAGACTGGCAAAATTGATAACTCAGTAACAATCACAGCCTCAAGGTTCAATTAACAATTAACAATAAGCAAACCTTGATCGGGTTGGTTTGATCAGCAAAAGCTCCCTGGAACAACTCACGTTTTAGCATCTTCTGGAAAGAAGTCAAACTGGGGCAAATTATTTAGCTGAGCTTGGCTGAGGCTAAGTAGGGTCTGACCTGGTTAAGATTTGGATGGGCAGAAAAATATTGGGGCATAGGTTAGATTGGGAAGTCAAAAACTCAGTCCAGAGAAAGTGGTAGAAAAGCTCTTCCATGTTGCAACTAGGAAAATTACAGAGCCCTGTCCCTGAAGTGCTTTAGATTTGAGCTTGATTTCTAATAAACAAACTCAAAACAGATAGTAAGTCTAAGAAACAAGGAACATTTAGAAAGTTTGATGGTCCTCCAGTCCATCCTGGAGATGTTGAGGATGGAACCTGGATCAGGCTGTATGCAAACCAGGGTTTGGGTTTTTTTTTTTCCTCTGTTCAGTTGTGTCTCTTGGAGACTACCAAGATAAATCTCTGCAGTTTTCTTGGCAAGGTTTTCAGAACTGTTGGCCATTGCCTCCTTCCTAGGGCTGAGAGAAAGGGACTGGCCCAAGGAGACCAGCCATCAGGCGAAAGAAATCCAGGATTTCTGGAGCCAGGATTAAGTTCAAAAGAAGTACGAGTTCATTTCATGTTACCTGTACACAAGAATCTGAACTACTAATGATCAAGGCAACTTGGCACTAGATAAGAGTCAATGGAATTCAAGGGGAGCGGACTTAAATCTTTTGTGGGCAGGAAGTGAATCCAAATGGATGGCATGTTTGATCCCACCTTTAGGCTCAGCCTGATCATTAATACCACTTTACAATACCTTGGTAAGGCCACACTTGGAATACTGCATCTAGTTTTGGTCACCACGATGTAAAAAAGATGTTGAGACTCTAGAAAGAGTACAGAGAAAAGCAACAAAGATGATCAGGGGACTGGAGGCTAAAACATATAAGGAACAGTTGCTGGAATTGGGGATGTCCAGTTTAATGAAGAGAAGGACTGGGGTGACAGGATAGCAATGTTCCAATATCTCAGGGGCTGCCCCAACAAAGAGGGAGTCAAGCTATTCTCCAAAGCCCCTGAAGGCAGGACAAGAAGCAACGGATGGAAACTAATTAAAGAGAGAAGCAACCTAGAACTAAGGAGAAACTTCCTGACAGTTAGAACAATTAACCAGTGGAACAACCTGCCTCCAGAAGCTGTGAATGCTCCAACACTGGAAGTTTTTAAGAAGAAACAGGACAGCCATTTGTCCGAAATGGTATGGGTTACCTGCCTGAGCAGGGGGTTGGACTTGATGACCTCCAAGGTCCCTTCCAACTTTATCATCATCATCATCATCAATTACACCCACTAGACTCTGGGCCCAAACTCACAGTCTACCAGTTTCTAGCCTTGACTTAATTATTATACCAGATTGGCTCTGATGCAAACCAGATGTTTTTTCACTCTTTCCACTTATGATGAAGATAGATTGCTGTCTACCTCAGGGTGTGGATTTCACACAGAGCCCCTAGTAACAGCTCTTGTCTTCCCTTACATGCCTCGATGTCAATAGAGCTGCTTTTCCCTTCTTGCCTGCAGATATTCTTTGGAAACGTGGATGGAGTGAGCGTGAAAGACAATGCCTTCGACCCGCCCATTGTAGCCCGTTATCTCCGACTCCACCCCACGCACTTCAACTTTCGCAACACTTTGAGGATGGAGCTGCTCGGCTGTGACCTGAACAGTATGGAATGAGACCTTTCTTCCTTCTTCCATTCATAGGATGGTGGGATTGTTGAGGCAGTGGGATCTCAGAGACTAACAGGATGCACCTGGATCAGTGGTGGCGAACCTATGGCACGCGTGCCAGAGGCGGCACTCGGAGCCCTCTCTGTGGGCACACGCGCCGTCACCCCAGCCCCGCCTCCTCCCGCAGCCCCATCCTCACCAGCAGCTCCCCTGGAGGAGAGTCGCCCCTGGGCACAGCCCGCACAGAGCAGCGCAGCCAAGGACATAGTCGGCAACAGGGACAAGACTCCGCCCTTGTGCCCCATAGCGTGCAGATGATGCTGCGGGGAGTGGGCGGAGGACATGACTGCCATGGTGCTGCAGGGCTGCCTGGGCGATCTGCTGCAATGGGCCATGGAGGCGGTGCGTGGTCCTGCGGGTGGGCGGGGCAGGGAGTGGGTAGGGGCAGAGCAGGCAGGGTGGGAGGTGGAGCAGGGTGGGGAGACAGTTTTGGGGCACTCGGTCTCTAAAAGGTTCGCCACCACCAGATTGGGATCCAATCTGGGTCAGTCACTGGGACCAGAGGTTTTTTCTCTTCCTAGCGTTTGGACTTGTGCTGGAGCCCATGTCTCTCTCGCAGAGTGTGTGCTCTTCTGTGTAAGATATTTACATAATGCCTGTTGCATGTGGCTTTTTAGAGATTGATTGGGGTATTGATAGCTGGCTATTAAGTCGTTGGCTGTTGTTTGCTTGTGCTGCCCAGCCCTCGCCTTCTAAGTATTTGATAGGCTGGTGGTAAATCAGCACTCTGTTGACTGATGAGGTGCCTGTTTACTAGGCTTCAATCCCTTCCCTGGCTGTTTTTGTACCGGCTCGTCCAACTATCTTAGTAGCTGCAAAATTGAATGTAAGTCCTTCTTCGTTACAGTGTGAGGCTACCAATGAGTCTCCTTGTTTGACCGCTCGCTTGTCTTCTTGCAATCTGATGATTGGCTTCCTTCTGTCTGTCCTTGGAGGTCATCTAGTCCAACCCCCTGCTCAGGCAGGAAACCCTACACCATTTCGGACAAATGGCTGTCCAGTCTCTTTTTAAAAACTTCCAGTGTTGGAGTATTTACTGCTTCTGGAGGCAGGTTGTTCCACTGATTAATTGTTCTCATTGTCAGGAAGTTTCTCCTTAGTTCTAGGTTGCTTCTCTCCTTGATTAGTAATCAGTTCAGCCCCAGGCAAGCTTCTCTGGAAAGAAAGTCCCAAAGATGGAGTGTTAGTCAGGGGTACTAGATCCAGCTTGGTGCGAACGAAGAGACAGAGTCCAATTCTCTCTGAGTCACATGTTTATTCAGATCTGGACAAAGGTGGGTCTTCCCATAGGGCTGGGGAAAACCCTGAATGATTGATTTAACATGCTTTTATGCTGCACTTGGTTACATAAACAGGAAACCCAATGTCTGTATGATAGTAAAGAAGTTACTAAAATATCCGTGCCCCACATCCTATAGCAATAAGTATTTTGAGCAAACTTTATTTTAAGAACCTTCTGGGGTTTCTCTATCATCCTTCCCCACACACAGGACCTGTCCCTTTTATGTCAGCCATTTCAATATAAGAATCTTGATCATGTCAATACTGATCAACACAAACTCCACTGAAAAAAATCCTGTTTATGGTGGGGGCATTATCTGAAGGATCAACAGGTCCTCCTTGCAGGCGTGTTGCCCATCATATCACTGTCAACCAGGGCTTGTTCCCAGGATGAAGGCAACAAGGGTTCGGATCCAAAGCAGTTGGTATACAATGTATACAGCTGAATGCCATTCAAAGAATGAAGATCTGGCACAAGGGATAGAGGTAGAGAAAAGAGGCTACTGAAGCTAAATGGACAAGAGTGGACAATCATTTGACTGGGATGATATATAAAATCTCCTGCCTTAATCAAGTCTTGGACTAGAAGACCTCCAAGGTCCCTTCCAGCGCAATGATTCTATGTTCTAAATGTGGCTTACTAGATTTGTCTATTTTCTTTCCCTTTAGGCTGTTCCATGCCACTAGGACTAGAGACCAACTCCATTTCTAATGAACAGATTACCGCCTCCTCTTGGATTGACAATGCATTCGCTACTTGGTCTCCCTTTTTGGCCCGGCTCAATTTGAAAGGAAGAATAAATGCATGGAGACCAACGGTAAATCGGATGTCCATAACCGTGTTTTCCAAATGTGGCAGCTTTAAGATGGGTGGACTTCAACTCCCAAAATTCAATTCCCTTTTCTAAGCCCCAAAGCCTGTCGTTTCTCATTGTATACACTGTGTCTTCCTTTATTTTGGCTCCTTCCATTCCAACTGCAACGATGGCTTTGCATTTTCCACAGTTCTGCCCAACTAATTTGTACAGTCCCCTCTTGCCTATCTTTAAATGGGTCTTAAAAAGATGGCTCTCCTCTCCCAGATCTTGGATAAATATCCCGTTGGGCCTTTTTTCATGGGATGGGGCAACCATTTTGGGTGATTTGTTGCCTCCAGGTGTCCATTGCTCTTTTTATGTAATACAGGTCATCCTCGACATTCAGCCACAAATTGGGCCCAACATTTATGTTGCTAATCAAGACATGTGTTGAGTTTTATCCCATTTTTACAGCCTTCCTTGGCACAATTATTAAGTTGAATCGTTGCAGTTGTTAAGTTAGCAAGGTTGTTAATCTGGCTTCCCCCTTGACCTTGCTAGTCAGAAGGTCACAAAAGTGGATCACGTGACGCTGCAACCATCATAAATTGCCAAGCATCCGAATTTTGATGTGGCAATGGTTGTTAAGTGTGAAAAATGGTCACAAGTCACTTTTTTCACTGCTGTTGTTAACTGTGAACGGCCACTAAATGAACTTTCGTGAGTCAAGGATTACCTGCATTCTTTCAACGTCATCTGTGATCAATAAAAGAAATTAGGAAGTCTGAAACTTGGTTTTCCAAGGATGGAGCGATTGTAATTTCCATCTCTTTCCCAGGTTGACAGCACAGCAGAGTGGCTTCAAGTGAACTTTAAGAAGACGTTGCGGGTGACAGGACTAATAACTCAAGGTGCCAAGTCTGTCTTCACCCATATGTATGTAAAGGAGTTTACTCTTTCCAGCAGCATGGATGGAAAAAACTGGGCACCCGTTCTTCAACATGGGGAGAAACAGGTCGGTACCATGTCTGTGTAATTCATTCTTTCTTTATCCATGAAAAGGCCTGACAGAAAAGTGACAGTTACGATCCTCTCGTTTTTCAGGTTTTCCAGGGAAATCACGATTATTTCCAGCCCGTGATGAACTTTCTGGATGTCCCATTCTTTGCCAAATATCTGAGGATACACCCCCTCGTGTGGAACAAACACATTGCGCTGAGGATGGAGGTGTTGGGCTGTGACACCGAGCAGATGGACTAGTCAAGATGAAGCCCTCTTTGGCTTTTGCTGCAAACGCTCAAACGAGGAGGATCTTCCCCTGCACAGCCCACCCCAACAACACATTTATCATCATAAAATAAAACTTCAGTGACCTTCCTGTTTTTGAGAACGGTGTGAAGGGAAGTCTCTGCAAAATGTTGCAATAGTATAACACTGGGTATTTGTCGACTGCTGGTTTCGTTAGGATCGCATTTGGGAATTTATGAACGGCAATATATCTTCTCTTCCTCAGTTTGTGTCAGACTTCTTAGAGCAGTGGTTCTCAACCTGTGGGTCGGGACCCCATTTGGGGTCGAACGACCATTTCACGGGGGTCGCCAAACAACGCAGTCCGCCATTTTTTCCCCCTTTTCTTTAGCTGTGCTACTCCCTTTTATTCTATTGACTTTTGAAAGCCAATAGAAATGACTCTCTTGAATAGAGTCTAATTCTATTGGCTTTCAAAAGCCAATAGGAATTGTCCAGCCTGTCTCTGCCCTGCTGAGCCCACCAAAAGTCCCATTCTGCAAACGGTGCTGCATCAGTTGAGTAGTCCTCGACTTACGACTGGTTGGGGGTCACGGCATTAAAAAGGTTGAGAACCACTGTCTTAGAGCCAGGATAAATTAGCTGCATGAATTCCTATGATCGGCTTTACATTTTCAGCTGGTGGGAGGGAGGATTTGAAACGTGCACTTTCTCCCCCCCATCACTGTTCTCATGATGGTTCAATCAGTGGAGGTTTTTCAGAAGAAACTGGACAGCCACTTGTCTCAGATCAGGTACAGTTGCCTGCTTGAGCAGGGGGTTGGACTAGAGGACCTCCAAGGTCCCTTCCAGCTCTATTCTGATTGATGGATGGTCTTCCCTAAGATTCCACTGATATCAAAAAAAAGAGGAAAGCACCGTCAGCAACATCTACTGATTAAGGAAAAAGGAGGGGTTTTTTTTTTCCTTTTGGGGAAAAAAAGAGATCCTAATTATTTGCTAGCCTCCAACATTTTGAGGAAGCTAAAGAGAGTCCCTGAAAGCCTGATTAACCTGTACGAGGCCAAAGCATCTAGTCAACATGCCTTGAAGTGAACCATAGACGTATCCTTTTCTAGAACCAGCCTTGCTTTGATATTGGACTACAAACAGTCCTGTAGTTTGGGACGGATGGGAACTGTCATCTGTCAACCCAAGAGGCTGTTCAGTTGAAAAAAACTGTTTACTGCTTCTGTTTGAATCATCCCCACCTGTAGACATCTCCATATCTGAAGTGACTAAGCTACCAGTAAACTTCCGTCTGCTTCTAGCAACTGTCTAAAGGGAGATAGCTTATCTCCCCAATCTTGTTAAGCAAAATCCAGGTGGGTCCTTCAGATGTTAACCCAACTGCATATTCAGCATTTGCGTATCATTTGCTCGATGCAGACTTGGATGTAGCTGGAGAATACAGCCGTGTAATTAAAGAATGTTTATCTCATGAAGATCTGTACTTTCTCCTCTTGTTTTTCCTGACTGATGCTTCAGCACAAAGTCTCTGCAGTGGACTGAGTCAGCATTAATACTGATAATAATTAATTACCCAGTGAGGAGCCCCTTCCAGGGGGGAATCTTCCCCCGTAAGTTTTTAAGGCTTCCAAATGCAACTTCGGAATTATTCAGAAGAACTTGATTTATTGTTTTATTTCATGGGGGCTTCATCTTTCCAAATGTATTCTTTCCAAGATTACTGAATGGTTGCCAGTCCAAGGAACATCCCAAAGAGACAGGCAAGCAAAATTTGGAAAAGGATATAAGAGCCTTTGCTTGCACACAAGGAAGGCCAATCGTAAGAAAACCTAGGGAGCTTTGCATCATGGTTAAAGAGAGACAGGGAAGTTTTTACCAGGCAAGGGTTGCAAAACCAGGGTTCTACCACCAAAAAGGCCCGGCTCTTAATGAATAAAGGAGGGCTTTCCAAAGCCATCCCAGACCATCTGTCCGGCGTGAAGAATTGGGACCACATATCATTTCTATTCACAAAATTCTAGTCAATTAATGGTCAACTCTAAATTGGCACTACAGGCGATTCAGCAGAATTCAAGGTTAGACATAGACCATTTATGGGAATGTAATGACTCTAGGCTGCTGACTCGCTTGACTCCACCTCCAGGCTCTGCCTGCTCTTCTCCTACTCACCATGGTAGATTTCAGTGATTAGAAGTGTTCCTTCAGAAATAGCAAAGATATTTGACAGGCAACACCACCACCCCTGCCGCAGATGTCTCTGCATACGTACAGACATCCATGATAGCTTGATCCTGTGAATGTTGAAGATCCCTACTGCAACATGGGCTGAAATACAGTATTATGATCCCAACATATCTGAAACTGAAAGACACTGAGTTGAGGAAGGTTGTGTTACAGAGGTCTAAGTGACATCATAAAGGTTGCCAGGTTCCATGTGCACACAGTTGAAAGCCACACTAGGGCACACCTAGGCTTGGATCTGGAGTTTGTTGAAATTGGTCCTCTAGAAGGATTTCTAAACAGCATACTGGGTCCATAATTAGTCCCCGGAATATTGGATTAATGTTTTAGGACTGTGGAGACCGTTCTGATTTCTGATCATTTGTGAACTCTTTTGGTTCTCCTCTTTTGACTGGTTTTGAATGAATTTCCTGATTTGGCCTTTCCCCAACATTTGCAGTGTAGCAGATGTGCCTGTAAGTGTGTGTCCAAGAGACCGTTCTAACTGACATTACCTGTGTCTGATAAGCCATGGATGTCATGTGGCAAGAAATAGTCTGCTTCCAGGTGCTCTCGGTGGCTGTGTCTCCAGTCTGCGCCTGGGGTGTCCACAGAGCTCAGAAGATGCCCTCCGTCACCGTCTTCCGCAACCGGCTTAGAAGACACAGAATTAAAAATCAGCTTAGACAACACTCTATGCCTCTACAGGGGACCACAAGACCAGATGCTCTAAATCTGGGACACACGGTCCAACGTGAGTTTTTAAAATAGCCACATGATAGTTGGATGAGATGGCCTAACATGGAAGGAGATGTCTTCTCCAGCTGAGCTCAGGATGCTTAGAGTCACAAACTGGATAAAAGTTTACAAACATAACAATAATTCTGATTGAATTAAACTCCATGGTCAACTGAGCCCAGTATTCTCTCCCCAAATTACCAATCAGATACCAACATGCACCCCAAAGTTTTTCTTGCTTAAGTTCCCCAGTTAGACCTTTGATACTAAAATGGTAACACAACCTTATGACACACATTTTTCCAAATTGTTTGTCCAGTTCATTTTTGGTTATGCATTTTTCATCTCTTTGCCTCATCTCTGCCCCTTCCTCCCAGCTGCCTCTTGAGGAAGCTGGACAAAGAGTTGCTTGTTCTGAATATAAGTTTATATCTTAATGCAACTGAGATACAATAAACTGCCATTCAAGTTTGTTCTTGGTTCAGCAGTATACAAGTGCCATAAATGCATACCTACATACTGAAAAGGATAAGAGACGGAGGAGAAGCCTTTTGCCCCTCTTATATGCGAAAGGTTCATGTTTGTAAAAGGAGGAAGTATTCTTAGATCCCTTTCATAAGGAAAATGAAACTGTTCAGCACATCTAGTAAGCCAGCTAGCCGGTTACTAGCACTCAGTTGGTCAAAGTTTAGACAAAACTTTTCAGGGATGTGATTTAGTGAAAACATGAAAATGATTATTATGCTGGTAGGGGAGGGAAATTTGTCAAACCTGACAAATTTAAAATGTGTGGGCTTCAACTCTCAAAATTCCCCAGCCACCATTCTGGCAGCTGAAGTCCACACGTTTTAAAGTCCTCAAGTCTGAAAAACACTGATTTAAATGTAATGAAAGCTACACCGAACAATTAAGTCTAATTAATAAGATCTTTTCGTGAACACCTATTTTGTGTTTTCTTTTTCCCTCACAACGATCTGTCCTCTGGAAGTTTCCTGCCCTTTTTTACGTCATAAGGTTTAGAAATAAAGCAAAAACAGAACTTTTATAAACAGAACTTAATGTCTTTTGCCAGGAGTTTATCCTCAGTTCTTCACATTGCAGGAAGAAAAAAATGTGATGAAAAAGGTATTTTGTGTTCATTCTCCCAAAGGAAAACAGGAGCATGGTACAGTTCTGTCTCAGATGCTGAGGGATCTTCTTGGTTGACTCCATAGGTGTCCGCCGGTCCTGGTTGTCAGACTACCTGGATGATCTCTGGGCTCACGTCCTTCACTCCTTCCCTAGAGGAGCACTATATGCTTTCCCAGTTGTCTTTGTGGTCATGTTCCTGCTTTGCTGTGCCACGTAAGTGGGTCGTTTGGTGAAAGTCAGTTCTGGGGAATTGTAATTGGCTCCAGGTTCCAGTCTTGAAAGGAGGGTGAAGCTCTACAAATTAAACAAAGATTTTAGAAAATGAAGAATTAGGTGTCACTCATTTGCACAGCAGGCTCGATTAAATTCCTTTAAAGTCTTGAAGACACACCCATTGTTGGAGAGGGAGTGGCAAAAACTGGGGGTGGAGTTAAGAGAGGAATCAGCCTAGAATCTCCATGTCACCACAAGCAAACTCAGTCCAACTTCCCTTGAATTTTCTTGACCCTTATCTAACCCAAGTAGATGTTAATCAGTTACTTGAGAAGATTCTCGTGCATAGGTTTTTAAAAATAAATCAGTTTAATTGGACCTTCACACGCAGACCTGATCTTTCATGCCTAACACCCATCTATTTATATTAGGCTTTCCCTACTCTATTGTTCTCCAGATTCTCCACTTCTTCTAACCACTACAGAAGCTGTAGAGTCCCCATTTGGAAAGTAACAGACTGGAGAAAATTGCTCTGGAGAGCAACATGCTAGGCCTTCATTTGCTGCAAACTGTAGCAAGAAAGTCTTGTTACTCTTGGGAGAACTCCTGCCTACTCTGCTGAGCAAGGTCTGCACTATGCCCCAGTCTGTTCTAAGGGTGTCATGCCACTCCTTGCTGAAGTCTTCTGTTGCACCAAACCACAGATGTTTCTCTAAGCTGGGCATGTAATAACTCAGCTGTTTCAAGATGGCCTGGCGTGACCTTCCTCAATTATACCATCTCATTGTGCAAGAAGTCAGACGTCTTTGGAAAATAAAGGGGGGAAGGGCA